CCTCCCCTTTGCCGTTGCCGCGGTGATCGGCTGGGCTGCGCCGCCCCTCGCGTCGGCAGTCCAGCAACCATCCCTCCACCCGTCGCCCCCCGTCGTCGTTGGCGCCCCCCCTTTTCTGCTGAGAGACAGATCCAGAGCCGGCGCCCTGGTGCCTCGCCGTGGGGCGCCGTGCACGGCGGTTAGGCATGGGCTGCTGCGTGCGCCGCTTGCGCGGGCGCGGCTGAGCCCGTGACTCCCCCGTGCTCGGCGACCTGGGAAGGGGGCTCCAGGGTTCGAGGGCGCGGGCGTCTCCTGGCGGGGTAGGGGGTGGGTGGGCGCTCGCGGGTCCCCCCCCATCGCCGCAGGGGCAATGGTGGGGTCGGGCGGTTGGGCGGATTGCCTCTCAGTGCGGGCGCGCTCGCGGAGGTGGCCCTCCCCCCCTCGCGGTCGTGCTCCGTCGGTTTTGCTTGTCCTGGCTTTGAGTTGGGTCGGGCGCGGGCTTGCGGAGCTGGGGAACCTGACCTTCGGTGTTGCCATTGTGGGTCAAGATCCCAACGCGTGCCCCCAGAGGGGGGGTCCTGCCTGTGGAGTAGATTTTTCGACCTTCCACCCAGTGCAAGGGGGGGCAGGCAGATGCGCCGCGTTCAGGGTGGCGGCGGCGCTGGCTCGGGGGCGCCTTGGCCCCCGAGGCGCCCCGCGGCAGCCGCGAGGCGTGAGCTCGCCCGCGGCCTGGCGCGTTGATGTAGCGCTGAGGGAAGAGGCCCGGGGGCGCCCCGAAGTGATCGGCTGGTCTGCACCCCTCGCTTCGGCAGTCTAGCAACCACCCCCCGGCCCATCCATCGTCCCCCGTCGTCCCCCCTTTCTCGGGCACGTCCGGGGCCGGCGCCCTTGTGCCTCGCTTTGGGCCGCCGTGCGCGGCGTTTGGGTATGGGGTGCTGCGTGCTCTGCCTGCGCGGGCGCGGCTGGGCCCGTTGCCGACCCGTGTTCGGCGACCTTGGGGTGGGGGGTGGGGCTCCAAGGGTCGAGGAGTCGGGTGTCTCCTGGCGTGGTAGGGCGTAGGTGGGCGCTCTCGCCCCCCCCCCCCCCCCCTCCTCGCGGCAGGGGCAAGGGTGCGGTCGTTTGGACAAGGAGTGGGGCGGGAGTGCGGGTTGCCTTTCACTTCGGGCGCGCTCGCGGAGCTGGCTCAGAGGCGCGCCTCGTGCGGGTTCCTCCTTTCCCTCCCCTCGCTGTCGCGCTCTGTCGGACGGTGCCAGACGGGTCTGGTAACGTCGCGATCCGCGCGGGCGCTGTCTGAGTATATTTAGGAAAGACCAATTTCCAGACGGCGCCTGTTCTGAATCGTGACGTTACCAAGGGTAGGGGTGGCGGGGTGGCGGGGCCAGTAGCGGATTTTATCGCGAATGATACAAGCATGGCTTTACAGATCTCGTCGCCTTGGAGCATTCACTCTTGCGGAGGCGCACCGCATATATTTATGGTCGCGCTTGCGAAGGCCCCACAAGGTAAAGTTCACGCCCTGCCGAGGGGGCCCCACGCGCGAGCGCTTGCTTTCCGTGTGCGAGATGGGGGCGCGTTCAAATCCCAATGCCAAGTTAGGCCACACTTCATTCCACTGTAGTGGGAGGGTGGGGGGGAGAAGGCGGGGCTTTTGTAACGCGCCCAGCCTGGCTAGTGTGACCCTGGGCCTATCCCCGGTCTGCCCCCCTCAGGCCTTCACTCAGGCCTGTCACCCAGGCCTTTCCTTTTGGCCTACCCCAAGGCCCTTCCCCTAGGCTTAGGCCCTTCCCTCAGCTTTTCCCTGAGGCGTGGCCCTGGGCCCTGCCCCTAGGCTTTCTCCTGGCCTTGCCCTGGGCTTGGCCTTTGGCGGGGCCTGCCCTCGGCTTCTCTACGGCTTTGGGTAGGGCCCACCTTAGGCTACCCCCCCAGGGTTTTGGGCATGCTCTAGGGTAGTCTTCCCCTCCCAGGCTCTATGCCCGATCCGGCGGCGAGACAAGAGCTCGCGAGTTTTTCCCCAGAGGGGGGGTCCTGCCTGTGGAGTAGATTTTTCGACCTTCCACCCAGTGCAAGGGGGAGCAGGCAGATGCGCCGCGTTCGGGGTGGCGGCGGCGCTGGCTCGGGGACGCCTTGGCCCCCGAGGCGCCCCGCGGCAGCCGCGAGGCCTGAGCTCCCCCGCGGCCTGGCGTGTTGACGTAGCGCTGAGGGAAGAGGCCCGGGGGCGCCCCGAAGTGATCGGCTGGTCTGCACCCCTCGCTTCGGCAGTCTAGCAACCACCCCCCGGCCCATCCATCGCCCCCCGTCGTCCCCCCTTTCTCGGGCACGTCCGGGGCCGGCGCCCTTGTGCCTCGCTTTGGGCCGCCGTGCGCGGCGTTTGGGTATGGGGTGCTGCGTGCTCTGCCTGCGCGGGCGCGGATGGGCCCGTTGCCGACCCGTGTTCGGCGACCTTGGGGTGGGGGGTGGGGCTCCAAGGGTCGAGGGCGCGGGTGTCTCCCGGCGTGGTAGGGCGTAGGTGGGCGCTCTCGCCCCCACTCCCTCCTCGCGGCAGGGGCAAGGGTGCGGTCGTTTGGACAAGGAGTGGGGCGGGAGGGCGGATTGCCTCTCACTTCGGGCGCGCTCGCGGAGCTGGCTCAGAGGCGCGCCTCGTGCGGGTTCCTCCCTTCCCTCCCCATCGCTGTCACGCTCTGTCGGACGGTGCCGGACGGGTCTGGTAACGTCGCGATCCGCGCGGGCGCTGTCTGGGTATATTTAGGAAAGACCAATTCCCAGACGGCGCCTGTTCTGAATCGTGACGTTACCAAGGGTAGGGGTGGCGGGGTGGCGGGGCCAGTAGCGGATTTTATCGCGAATGATACAAGCATGGCTTTACGGATCTCGTCGCCTTGGAGCATTCACTCTTGCGGAGGCGCACCGCATATAATCCTGGGTCAGCTCGCGCTTGCGAAGGCCCCGCAAGGTAAAGTTCACGCCCTGCCGAGGGGGTCCCACGCGCGAGCGCTTTCCGTTTGCGAGATGGGAGCGCGTTCAAATCCCATTGCCAAGTTAGGCCACACTTCATTCCACTGTAGTGGGAGGGTGGGGGGGAGAAGGCGGGGCTTTTTAACGCGCCCTGCCTGGCTAATGTGACCCTGGGCCTATCCCCAGTCTGCCCCCCTCAGGCCTACATTCAGGCCTTTCACCCAGGCCTTTCCTTTTGGCCTACCCCAAGGCCCTTCCCCTAGGCTTAGGCCCTTCCCTCAGCTTTTCCCTGAGGCGTGGCCCTAGGCCCTGCCCCTACGCTTTCTCCTGGCCTTGCCCTGGGCTTGGCCTTCGGCGGGGCCTGCCCTCGGCTTCTCTACGGCTTTGGGTAGGGCCCACCTTAGGCTACCCCCCCAGGGTTTTGGGTATGCTCTAGGGTAGTCTTCCCCTTCCCAGGCTCTATGCCCGATCCGGCGGCGAGACAAGAGCTCGCGAGTTTTTCCCCAGAGGGGGGGTCCTGCCTGTGGAGTTGATTTTTTGACTTTCCACTCAGTGCAAGGGGGAGCAGGCAGATGCGCCGCGTTCGGGGTGGCGGCGGCGCTGGCTCGGGGGCGCCTTGGCCCCCGAGGCGCCCCGCGGCAGCCGCGAGGCCTGAGCTCGCCCGCGGCCTGGCGCGTTGACGTAGCGCTGAGGGAAGAGGCCCGGGGGCGCCCCGAAGTGATCGGCTGGTCTGCACCCCTCGCTTCGGCAGTCTAGCAACCACCCCCCGGCCCATCCATCGCCCCCCGTCGTCCCCCCTTTCTCGGGCACATCCGGGGCCGGCGCCCTTGTGCCTCGCCGTGGGCCGCCGTGCGCGGCGTTTGGGCATGGGGTGCTGCGTGCTCTGCTTGCGCGGGCGCGGCAGGGCCCGTTGCCGACCCGTGTTCGGCGACCTTGGGGTGGGGGGTGGGGCTCCAAGGGTCGAGGGCGCGGGTGTCTCCTGGCGTGTCAGGGCGTGGGTGGGCGCTCTCGGCCCCCCCCCCCCTCCTCGCGGCAGGGGCAAGGGTGCGGTCGTTTGGACAAGGAGTGGGGCGGGAGGGCGGATTGCCTCTCACTTCGGGCGCGCTCGCGGAGCTGGCTCAGAGGCGCGCCTCGTGCGGGTTCCTCCTTTCCCTCCCCTCGCTGTCACGCTCTGTCGGACGGTGCCAGACGGGTCTGGTAACGTCGCGATCCGCGCGGGCGCTGTCTGGGTATATTTAGGAAAGACCAATTCCCAGACGGCGCCTGTTCTGAATCGTGACGTTACCAAGGGTAGGGGTGGCGGGGTGGCTGGGCCAGTAGCGGATTTTATCGCGAATGATACAAGCATGGCTTTGCAGATCTCGTCGCCTTGGAGCATTCACTCTTGCGGAGGCGCACCGCATATAATCCTGGGTCAGCTCGCGCTTGCGAAGGCCCCGCAAGGTAAAGTTCACGCCCTGCCGGGGGGGTCCCACGCGCGAGCGCTTTCCGTTTGCGAAATGGGAGCGCGTTCAAATCCCAATGCCAAGTTAGGCCACATTTCATTCCACTGTAGTGGGAGGGTGGGGGGGAGAAGGCGGGGCTTTTTAACGCGCCCGGCCTGGCTAATGTGACCCTGGGCCTATCCCCAGTCTGCCCCCCTTAGGCCTACACTTAGGCCTTTCACCCAGGCCTTTCCTTTTGGCCTACCCCAAGGCCCTTCCCCTAGGCTTAGGCCCTTCCCTCAGCTTTTCCCTGAGGCGTGGCCCTAGGCCCTGCTCCTAGGCTTTCTCCTGGCCTTGCCCTGGGCTTGGCCTTTGGCGGGGCCTGCCCTCGGCTTCTCTACGGCTTCGGGTAGGGCCCACCTTAGGCACCCCCCCCAGGGTTTTGGGTGTGCTCTAGGGTAGTCTTCCCCTCCCAGGCTCTATGCCCGATCCGGCGGCGAGACAAGAGCTCGCGAGTTTTTCCACTTCCACGTCCTGCGCACCTCCGGATGCGTGAATTTTTCATTCATTCCATGAGGATGGACGCCTCGTGGGCACGGCCAGAGATCGCCCAGCATCCTTCGACGTGCGCCTCGTGCCTTGCAGGGCGGGCTCCTGCGGGTCGCCCCAGGGGGAGCGATGGGGCCGCCCTGCGGGCCGAGGAGACCGCGCGCGATTGCGTCAGGACCCAGGGGGGGTACACACGATACGTGCATGCGCATGGTTTGCAAACGTGCAAAAGTATGTATGTATACAAAATCGCATTGACGCTTCGCGCTGTGCACTTTGTTCCGTTGAGGTGTGTACGGCCGGAGTGAGAGATAGAGAGCGATAGAGGGAGAGGGAGGGAACGATCCAATATATAATATGTCCATGTGTCCGTTTCCGTGCTGTCGTCCTGCTTCTTATCCTCCTTGTCCCTTCCTTCATCTTTCCTTTTCGTTTTGCTCGTTCTCGCCATTCTCTGCGAACCTTTCCCCGTCCTCTTTTTTTGCGGACCCTTTTTTTTCGGGGGGCAGGCCCCTCATGAGAGGGCTCTTTGGGGCCCCTTGGTGGCTTCTTGGGGCTAGTTGGGGGCCTTTGGAGGCCTCCAGAACGTCTTCTGGGGGCCTCTGGGGGCTTCTGTGGGCCGCCATGCTGCCCTTCGCGATTTCACTCGCCGACCCAGTCTCGGTTTGGAGTGTCTTCGGGGTGTCGCCCCCGCGGCCACCCCGCCTTGCCTGCTCCCCCTCTTGTATGCTGGCACCATTCGCTTTTCGGTGCCCCCGTCTAGCTTCTGCGCTGGTGCAGCCGACTCTGCCTCGCCGCCGACGAAGAACAAGTTTTCGGAGTGTCTTGGGTTTTTTTGGGGCCACCTTGGGGCCTGTCGGGCTGTACGGGGGCTCTCTTAGGCCGTCTTGTGGTCGTGTGGGGCCGCTGGGGGCTCTTGTGGGGCTGCTTGGGCGCCCTTGTTCGCTTTGGGCTCGCTGGCTAGGCCTGGCAGTGATGTCCAGGAAGCCCAAACTCCCGGGATACCCTCTGCAGCGACGTCCAGAGGGCCCCTAGGAGCAGGGACTCTGGGGAATTGTTTTGGGGCGGGGGCGTTTCGCAGGGTTTCGGATCAAGCAAATCATATATTAAGAGGTGACACACTCATATATATATATATATATATATATATATATATAGATGTATGCGTATCTGTATATATATATATATTTATCTATATATAGGTATACGCGTATCTCTATATGCATCCATCTAGTTATTTGTATCTGCATCTGCGCGATGTTTATGCACATGTATATGTTTGTATATGTATATGTATAGGTATATGAACACGGGTGTATCTATACACACATGGTCATTTGCATATGTGCATGTAAACGTAGATGCGTGTAGATGTTTGTACGTGTATCTATGTGCATTTGTATGTGTTTGTATATGCATGTGGTTGAGAGGGAGAGAGAGAGAGAGAGAGAGCGAGAGAGAGAGAGAGAGACGGAGAGAGAGAAGAGAGGGACAGAGAGATATACTGCTTGAGATGGAGAGATGGAACTTTGGACTGCCCGGCCGTTTAAGCATGAGACCTGCCGATGATACGCGGCACTACAACGCGCATAACGTTACGGGACAGCGCAACACATCTGGCTACGGTCGCCACTACAGCCAGGAAAGCATTCTGCATATGTCGTAAGCGCGCTACAGAGCAGCAGGTGTGGCATAAGACTAAGTAAACGACAATCATTGAATGCAGCAACCTAACCAGATGAGCACTGACATCAGCATTGAAGCAGCTAGCAGGAGGAGTCTATCCAGCTGCCTGCTGTGAGTCCCGCCACCATGCCAGCCTGGCATTCTGAGTGGCGATGGTTCGAGGGGGCACGTGAAGCCGCCACGTGTGGCACCTCGTGTCTCCAGGGTTGGGATAGCTGTGATGATAATCACAAGGATGGTGATGCGTGTGATGATGAAGGTGATGGCGATTGTGATGATGTTGTTGATGATGTTGATGGAGACGATGAGGATCATGAGTAGTATCATCATTGTTCAGTTGATGTTATAGATGCTGATAATGATAATGATACTGATAATGATAATCATAATGTTAATGATGCTGATCCTGATAATGATGGTGATGATGATGATCATGATGATGATGCTGATGCTGATGCTTCTGATGATGATGCTGCTGATGACGATGGTAATACTGATGATGCTTATGATGACGATTGACATGATGAGTCTGATGATGATGACGATTATAATGATGATGCTGATGATGTTTGTAATTCTTATTATCATGATGAATGTGATGCTGATGTTCATGATGGTGGTTATGCTGTGGATGCGGATGAGGATGAGGATGAGGATGAGGACACTAATGATTATGGTGGTGGTGATGCTGATGATCATGGTGATTCTGAGGAGGAGGAGGAGGAAGAGGAGGAGGAGGAGGAGGAGGAGAAGGAAGAGGAAGGCCGGCACATGTGACACTCTTGGTCTTCTCTAGTTGATGAGCTCTCATGGAATTCGTTCGGGCCGTCTCTGAGCGGTGTTGGCTTCCGGTGAGGCAATCTTGGGGGTCCCTTGGGGCCGTCGTGGACCGTCTGTGGGCCCTCTCATGCCATCTAAAGGCTCTCTTAGGCCGTCTTGGGGCTCTCTTGGTTGTATGGTGGGTGCTTGGGGGCCGTCGTGGGTCCGTTTTGGGCAGCCGACGGGCCTTCCCAGGCCGTCTTGGGTCCCACGGGGTGCCTTGTTGGCCGTCCTGCGGCCGTCTTGGATGCCTCTTGGGCCATCTTGGAACCCTCTTGCGCCGTCTTGGGGTTATCGTGGAGGCTTCTTGGGCCGTCTTGAGCCGACGGACGCCCAGAATGGCGAGAACAAGAAATTCGTTCCAATAAAAGAGAGGACATCTGTGATTTTGGCTTCTTCAGCCCCTGTTGGAGGTTCTCTTGTGGCCCTTTTGGGCTCTCCTGGAGGCATCTTGGGCCCTTCGTGACCATCTTTGGCCGCCTTCGAGGCATCTGGGGCCATCTTGGCCTTGGTTGTCTACACAGGCCGACTTTGAAGCTTGGGACCCAGATAATTTTTTTTTGTTTTTGTTTCAAGGGATGGGCCATGTTGGGTCATCTTGGTGTCCTTGATTGCCGGCATGGGCCGTCTTGGAAGCTCGGGACGCGGATCCATCGATTTTTCCTTTGAGTCGTGGCCTCGGGAGCAGAGCGGAGCGGGGCATGGGGTGACATGCGGCCAAGGTGTGTGTGTGTGTGTGTGTGTGCGTGCGTGTCCCTGTTGCCAATACGCCGGAGCAGTCACAGTCTGCCCAGCCGCCGACGGAAAGAAGTGTGTGTGTGTGTCCGTTGGTAGAATGCAGAAGCCCTACAATACAGCCCTTGGCAGTGTTCCACTCCTCAACGTGCACCAGGCACGGGGGTCTCTCTGACGGTTTCGGGGGAGGCAGCTGTCCACGAAGTCGTTCAGCAATCGGTGGAGGCCGAGGGGGGTGTGCAGGGGCAGTGTGTGAGCTGCCCTCCTGCGCGAGCTGCCCTCCAGCCAGTAGCCTTCTCGCATGCGAGGCTTTCAGTGGACATTGGTCCGTGTGAAGCGCGCACCCGTAGTTTCAACATCTACCATTGGCCGCGAGCTGGGAGACAGGGAAGGATGGGGGGAGGGAATGAGGCACGCAGAGGAGGAGAAGGGCGTCGACGCCATGGATGATGATGATGATGCTGCTGATGCTGATGATGAGGATGATAATGATGAGGCTGATGCTGATGATGACGATTCTGACGATGCTGATGCTGATGCTTTTGATGAGGACGACGATGATGACGGTAACGACGATACTGCTGCTGATGATGATGACGACGACGATTGTGCTGCTGATGATGATGGTGATTGGTATGATGCTGCTGATGGTGTTGATGCTGCTGACAACGATGTTGATGATGATGATGCTGATGCTGATGCTGTTGATGATGCCGATGCCGATGATACTTCCGCTGCTGCCGATGATGATGACGACAAGGGTGATGACGATGATGATGCTGATGACATGATGATGCTGCTGATGATGACGATGTCAATGATGGTGATGCTGATGAGGATGATGATGACGCTGACGGTGACGATGATGATGCTGATGATGCTGATGCTGATGATGAGGATGATGATGCTGATGATGATGCTGATGTTGATGATGACGCTGCTGAATATGATGATGATGATGATGATGATGATCATGCTGAGGACGACGACGATGCTGCTTCTGATGACAAGACGAGGATACTGATGATGATGGTGGTTCGTGTGATGCTGATGGTGATGATGCTGAGTATGATGCTGATGCTGATGATGATGATGATGATGATGATGATGATGATTATGACGATGCTGATGCTGATGCTTTTGATGATGACGACGATGATGACGGTAACGACGATGCTGCTGCTGATGATGACGACGACGACGATTGTGCTGCTGATGATGATGGTGATTGGTATGATGCTGCTGATGGTGATGATGCTGCTGACAACGATGCTGATGATGCTGGTGCTGATGAGGATGATGATGTCGATGCCGATGACACTTCCGCTGCTGCCGATGATGATGACGGCAATGATGATGATGCTGATGCTGATGCTGATGACATGATGATGCTGCTGATGATGACGATGTCAATGATGGTGATGCTGATGAGGATGATGATGACGCTGACGGTGACGATGCTGATGCTGATGATGCTGATGCTGATGATGAGGATGATGATGCTGATGCTGATGCTGATGATGATGATGACGCTGCTGAGTATGATGATGCTGATGATGACGACGGCAAAGCTGATGATGATGATGGTGGTGGTGATGATGATGATGATGATGATGATGATCATGCTGATGACGACGACGATGCTGCTTCTGATGATGACAAGACGACGATGCTGATGATGATGGTGGTTCGTATGATGCTGATGGTGATGATGCTTAGTATGATGCTGATGGTGACGCTGATGATGATGCTGATGATGCTGATGCTGATGATGATGACACATCCGCTGCTGCCGATGCTGATGACGACGATGCTGATGACGATGATGCAGATGATGATGAAGATTGTGTTGATTCTGATGACGATGAGGATGCCGATGATGTTGTTGATGATGATGATGATGATGCTGATTATTATGATGATGATGATGATGGT